GCTTGAAGCCCTGGGCTTACTCAAGGATGACGCTCTTCTTCAAGTGTCGTCTTTGAGGTGCCAGGGAGATAACACAGCCTCAACAGAGATTTGCTGGCTGATGCGTGGATAAACCACGGAGACCTCTATGAACTGCAGCTCACCCTATTTTTGTCTGAAACGTCACTACACATGCTAGGTGACTCGTTCTGTCCTTTCATTTTCCATTAAAAAAAAAAACAACAACATAGAATCTCAATAGGGTAACTGGCTACATTCATGGATGATGGCACTGAAAGTTTTCAGTGCAATAAAATCTCAAAATCTCATGCATAGGAGAGGTCTTCAAAAATCTCTTGGCAAAAAATTTATGAAAAAACTATACATGGATTTCAAAAAGTTTCTGCATCCAACTAAACACTTCTCTCTCTTTTTTAAAAAAGAAAGATGTATTTATTTTATTTGAAAGGTAGAGTTACAAAGAGAGAGAGAGAGGAGAAAGAGGGAGAGACACCTCTTCAATCTGCTGGTTCATTCCCCAGATGATTGCAACAATAGGGCTAGGCTAGGCTGAAGCCAGGAGCCAGACTCTTCATGTGGGGATCCCAAGTGGGCAGCAGGGCCCCAAGCTCTTAAGCCATATTCTGCTGCTTTCCCTAGGCATGTTAGTAGGGAACTGAATCAAAAGTGGGACAGGTGGGTGTTGAAAAGATGCCCACATGAGATACCAGCATTGTAGGCAGTGGCTTGACATGAAACTCCACAATATCAACCCCAGAAATAGCATCCTATAACTCCGTTTTCCATGAACTTTTAAAAGTCACTTTGCATTTTCTTGACTGCTCTTTTTATCTCCCTAGACACATAAAACCACACATACACATCATCATCATCATCGTCATCATCTCTACCTGTGTATCTAGACATACAGAGATGCACTTACATATGAGCTATTGCGAACCTGTTTCTATTTTAAGATTGGATCATTTGAGTTCCTATACTGTCAACCGACTGAACTACTGGTCCCTTGGAGGAAAGAAACAAAGTATCTGCTTCTCTGTACATGCTGGGTACTGATGCTGGTCGCTGCTGACCAGTACCTGTGGCCATTCTGATGTGCAGTGCTACCATTTCCACAAGATCGGTAGCCATTTTCCTAGAGAGATGTCTGGTGAGCTTCTGGTAAGAAGTTCCCTTCCAATAGTCAAGCACTGCACTCCGAGGTTATACTATAACACTGCTCCTTAGGAATATTTCCTATACTTCTGACGCTCATTAGGCCCATAATCGTCCACTGAAGCAACTCTGAAACAAGAGATAAACACTGTGTGCTCACGGATGAATGATAATTAGGTGCAGCTCTGCACTGCGCCCTTTAGAGGTCTAATTTTGGAGCATAATTAATCCTGCTGAAGCTGTGTAAGATAAGTGAAATATTTAGGCAGCTGTGTTAATTCCTGCATTGACTCCTGAAGAGACATTCAGAGTCGGACATGGCCTTCCGGGAAGATTGTCTTCAGACGCCCCCACTCCCACTCTCCCTATAGCAGCGTCATTTTCTCTCTTTGGGCTTTGCCTCCAGATGGCCTCTAGAGCTGAGGTTGGGAAGGCACATTTCCCAACCCTGATAGTCTGCCAGGACTAAGAACCTAGATGTTCTTTAAGTACAAGGAGTGAACCTCTGGTTTGTTTTGGCACATTGACTATTTTTATTTGCTGTAAGGATGATGATTTTCTTTTGCTGTTCAGGACTACAACATTCCTTCTATACTGTTAAGTTGAAAATGGCTGTATTGAGTAGCAGAGTTTTTCATGGCACGGAAATGATGATGGTGAGGTGGTAATGGCCTTAAGGAGGAGGAGTAAGATGATGAGGGCAATCATGATGATGGTGATGGTAGTGGTGATGTGGTGATGTTAGTGATGCTGATGCTGGTAATGGTGATGATGATGGTGAGGAGGAGGATGGTGGTGGTGAAGGTAAACCACCCACTGAACTACTTTTCGGTTACAGGAGTCTTGCTCTTTATGTATGTTCTTGCATCTCATCTTCAAACCAAGTTCATCAGATAAATATAAAGGCATCCATTCATAGATGCTTAAATCAATCCTAAGAAAGATTACTGCCTTCACAAAAGCATTTATAAATGGGACATTAGATTTAGCTCAGATATGGGCTAAATTATTCGTTCCTAAAGGATCTATAAATCTAGATCAGCCAATCACTCTGATAGACATTCCATATAATTAAATACAACAGAAGTCTTGCTTAATTGGCCCCCTGCCAGAGTGAGGCCCCTGAAGTAGAGATTTTGCCATCTGCTAGCTGGGGGACTCACAAACCCTCCGAGCTTAGATTTCCTCCTCCGTAAAATGGAGCTGAGAAAAGTTTACCTTCATGAGGCTGTCAAGAAGATTGAAGGAAACATGTAGTGTGCATGGTGATGCGTACAGCAACTGGCATATCTTGTCCCATAAATATGCTAGCTATTCTATAATGGATATTAAAAGAGTGTCAACAATGATAGATAGGTCTAGGATTAAAAAATCACTTATTTGACAGGTTCCTGTCACAGTTTAAAAGTTCCCTGATAGGGGCTGGCATTACGGCATACTAGGAAGGGAGGCTACCTTTAATGTACGCATCCCATATGGGTGCTGGTTCCTGTTCCAGCGGCTCCACTTTCAGCCCAGCTCCCTGCTAGTGCATCAGGGAAAGCACTAGAAGGTGGCTCCAGGCTTTAGGCCCCTGCCAGCCATGTAGGAGACCTAGAAGTTCCTAGCTTTGCTTGGCCCAGCCCTGGCTGTTGAAACAGTTGGATTGTAAACCAGCAGATGGGAGATCTCCCCCTCTCTCATCTTTTCTTGTAACTCTGCCTTTCAACTAAACCAATAAATAAGGAAATGAATGAATAAATGTAAAAAATTCCCTCATAAATACAACTCAACACCAACCCTTCATCCAACCACGTATGATGAGACTTCATAAGGCTCATCATGGAGGATTGACTGAAAAGACAAACTTGTTTCGGTATGCATACTTTTCAAAGTATGCATTTGGCATAAATTTCCTCAATCCAACTGCCGGTTGTATTCAGGGCTTTGTGTACTCAAACAAGACCCCTGCTTGGTGAGCTGCTCATCTCATGTAGGAACTCCAATTCTTCAGTGTCCCCTCAGTGTTCACACCCTTTGCCAGACAATTCCAAGCCTCTTCTGTAAGAGTCTGTTGATCTTGACCTGATTTGGACAGGAAGCTGTTGGCACACAGGAATGTGATGAAACAGAGGCAGGAAATGTGTGTGTGTGGTTAGGTATATCTTCCATGCCTCTGAGGCAGCCAGAAGAGCTTCCCTTTGGACTCAGAGGCAGAGCAAACACGCAGAGGTTGACTACTCAACTGACAGCAGGGATTAACAGCCACTGAACCCACAGCAGTCTGAAACAGAGGGGCTTCCCCATTCAGCCCTCACCCCAGGAGTAAAATACATGCTTGATGTGTGGGCCTCTAAGATCTCGCAGCAATAGCTGACCAACACAGTCACAAGTCACTATTTCACAGCGGAGAACAGGACCAGTGAGCTGCAGAAGGTACAAATGTCCTACAGGGAATGCAAAGAATCAGATGCTCTTGTTTGTGAGCTAAACATAAAACACCTTTAGATGGTACTGTGAGGATCTAGGGCTTGATTCTCGGAGCAAAGAAGCAGAGAAACTGCAGGAAATCACACCCTGTGTCCAAATGCACACCAACCATGTGGGCTAACCTCTGTTCAAGCGGCTGACCGGAAGGGTTTCCTTTCAGCTCCGGTCAGGCACAGCGCACGATAACCACCTCTGAACAGCATCCACCTGTTCTCGAAGGGGGCTTCTGCCCTAGGCTCCTTTGTATCCTGTGCACACTGAGCAGATTTCTCATGCTAGCCTGAGATCTGTGGTGGCCTTGCTGTCACTAGGTCAGTGGCAGCAATCCCAAAGGAAACCGACCTGCCATTCAAGTCTCGGCTGGACTCTAATAGCCGTGTCAGGAAACTCCAAGCTGTGGGGAGGGTGTTCAGGTCTCTAACACAAGACAGGGCAGACAAAAGGGAATGCTCTGGGGACAGCTGGCCCCAGGTGGATGGACAGTTCCGTAAGTGCCATAATCCCATTAGACTGAAAGCCACGTGAGGGTGGATGGCTCTGTGCTAGTTAAGCAAGCAAGGGGTGAATTGTACTGAAAACCCATGGGATCTCTGCTTACCAGCCTTTTGTAGAGATATCTTCTCCATCATCCCTTTACAGGAACCACAAAGATTGATGCAAAATGACTGCACCCTTTAGTCACACCCGACAGGCTAAAAAAAATGTCTCTACTCTCAGATGCACCAGCAACTCTTCCTCTGCAGCTTGACACTGAGAATTTAGAGACTAGAGAGCAGGACTTACTATAACCTGGTCATGGCATACCTGAAAGCAAGGTCTCTCCACTGTAGCACCCTAATGTTTGGGGGTGTTGAGGTGTGCGGGGCTGTCCCAGGCATTACACGACACGTGCCACCATCCCTCGTCTCTGGCCTCTACCCATTAAGCTACGGTAAACAGCCTCCCAGGCCATGAGCACTGAAAATGTCTCCAGACACTGTCAAATGCTACCTGGAGGACACAATTTCCTCTCTCGCATAGGGAACCGTCTCATTAGAGAAAGAGAATCAACGGGTTCCCACTGCTAAGGCAGCAGGCCTGACCTGGTTCCTGATTTTCTTTGAATCTATTTGTTCAACTCTTTGTTAAATTTTACTATGAATGCTGTTTCTGCATCCTTAAAAGAATTTTTTCTTTTCTTTTTTACATTTAGCAATCTAGAGTTGGCTTCTGTCATAAACAACCTAAATAACCGTGTCATTATGTCAGAGCTGCTTAAGCTCTCTTAGTGAGCAAACTCTTGATGGCCAAAATCCACGGAACACCAACTAGAAAACACAGAGTGCAAGAGTTTCAGCCCCCTCCACCCAAACCAGGGGTTCTCTGGGGGGTCTTACCATCACCCACAAACTGAAGCAGGGCCAGGTCAATCTGCCTCTTCCAAGGGGAGCCCTTCTGGAGGGCAATACCGTAACCCGTGGTGGCGAAGATGTACCCGCTCCCGATGGTCACCAGCTTGCAGCCTTCATCCCGCCCGGCCTTGTAATTCAAGACTGCCGCATCGTAGATGAAAGCGTCCAACTTCCTGAAAAGACAAGAGACATGGGAGTCATGGGAGCAATCCCCAAAGCCTATGTTTCTTTCTAACTGGAGCTGATGGCTCATGGCCACTCCATCCCCTCACCTTAAAAAGGATCTATTTTTAATGAGGAGCTAAAAGCCAGAACCTTTTCTCTCCGACTTACAAGAGGCAGCTAAATAAAGACATGCAGAATCCATATACCCAAGTGAGTAAACAGTTGAGTTTGCTGGTTCACAAAGTGTCTGTCCTTACTGCTCCCGATTATGGAGAACAGCGGCCCATTTAGCAAAGTTTGCATTGGAACAGACAGAAGCCACAAAGGGGCAGGCGAATTTGGTAGTAGCATGGAATGGGGATGGGGATGAATTAGGCATGAGGTCTTGTCCTCCCCAAAGAAACAGTTTGACTCTATATTTACACTTCAAAACATTTGTGTGGAAAAAAAAAACTGAATTAAAAGATGAGTTTATTCTAGTGCAAAATAATTTTGAAACTCATGAGATGTTTTTTTCATAATAGTCCTCTTCCACGAACTTTAGGAAGACTCTCTGAGTTCCAAAAATTGTTCCACGGTTACTTTTCAAACCAATAGCACAGAAAAAACATTGGTAAATTAGAATTACCTGTAATAAAATAAATGGACAATAAAATTATATAAGCCAGAATTCAATAACTCAAAGGTAACTTCTATTAACATTCTGAAGATATTGTTTGTTGCACACACACACACACACACACTTCCCCTTGAGGGGTTGGGAAGCTTTTTCTGCAAAGATGAGATAATCAATGTTTCTGGCATTGTGATCTCTACAGTCTCTATTCCAGTTACTTAACTTGTTGTTGTAGAGTGCAATGGGCTGAACTATTCCCCAAATTCTTCTGCTCAAATTCAAGCCCCGATACCTGACGCTGTGTCTGACTCTTTGCAGCCACAACTGCTGCAGATGTTAAGCTGAGGCCCTACCTGGAGTAGGGCGGGCCCCTTGTTCACTAGGACTGCTGTGATTCACAAAGGAGAAGTTGGGCACAGGTATGCACACAGGGAGAACATCATGTGAAGTGTACCATTTTAGCGCCACAAGCCTAGGACCGACTGGAGGCTGGGAGAGATGCAACAAATGCACAGCGAGTTGTGTGACACCTGCTGACACCGTGACCATGGTTTTCCAATCTGCACAATCGTGAGCAGGAAGTTGCTGTTAATAAGTCACTCAGTGCGTGGTGCTTTCTGGTAGCAATGACAGGAAGTCAACATGTGGCACCAAAGCAGCCCCAGATAAATACACACCCAAGTGATACAGGCAATACACAGGCAAGTCAACGTGGCTCCATTCTAATGAAACGTTATTTACAAAAACATATGTGTTCATAGGCTGTAGCTTGCCAACCTGTATTTTAACCCTCCAAGATTTGGAATTCAATTTGGAATTCAATCACCAACTTGGAAGTTTGCATGCTCCTACCAGTCAACACTCCCCCAAAAGCATTATACAATCTTCAGTGCTCTGGTTGTGCCCAGCCAGTGCCTGCCTCCCTCTTAGTGAGCGTGCACTTTCTCTCCGAACTTGAAAAGTTAGTTGACAAGGCTAGAACACGGGAATGAATGTCTCAACTGCAAAAGTAGGTAGGAAAACTAAATCGAGATTACTCAACTTCCTGATACTTTCTCAACTTTATTGCCTTCCTCTAACAAGGAAACGTAAAACAGTGAAGCGAAGAAAAATAAAAGTGGCAGGCAGAGGATGTGGAAGGCTGCACCCTTTTAGAGACAGCTGCTGAAGGACTCCCTGTGGGAACAAAGCTGTTTGGAAGGTTTACAGCATCATTCTTCATTCTCCTCTGCTTGTGTGGTTTGCTTTAATGGTTTGTGGGGGTGGGTGAGGGGAGAACAGGAGGGGGAAAGTGGTCAAAATGATGGGGCTTATCTCACCCATAGAAAGACTCTGATTTTGTCCCAAGAACAAAGGATCAGAGATAGGTGGTAAGCTCTGAGGTTCCCAAAAGTAGATCAGATTATACAAGCAACAGCTATAGCAGAGAACTGGGCATTGTCAGAGCTGACGAGTCGAGGGCAGACCGCCCCGTTGGACAGCTAGCGATCCCAAGGCCAAAGGAAACTGGAGAATGTAACAGTGGAAACCAAAAGCAATTAGTGCGTGTCGGCAGTACATCTGGGGCAGCGGGCGGCGCAGGAGCAGTGCAGAGAAGCGATCTGGGGCCTTGTCCAGGCTGGGATGACAGTGTAGCCCCAGGGAAGTCACTTCATTCTGTTGGGACTATCGGGTTCTTGTCGATGAGATGGATGAGGTGCTTGTGGTGTTGTTCCTGCTGAGGCACTTGTCCCTCTGTGGCGTTCTGTGAGTCTGTAAGCCAGTGGTGCCCCTTCTGGGGGCCATCAAGAGGACCACTGCACCTCTGCAGGGTGCGTGGGTGTTGAGGACTGCAGACCCTGTGTGACACTGGTGCTCTCGGTAAAACTGAGGTGTCTGAGGAGGGGAGGGGAGAAGAGAGGGAAAGAAAGCAGAGGGGAGGGGACTCTTCAAAAAGCCTAAATGTAAATGTACACACATGTTTGTAGCAGCAGTCAACTTCCAAGGCCATCTCTTGGAGCCCAAGGAAGAAGCCTTTCCTCCCTGTGACAACAGATCCCATGCTGATGCATGGCTGGTACAGAAATGTAAACGTGTGTCTAGCAACCCTAAGAAAATTGCCCAACAGCAGTTTAAAATTGGTATTTCATGAAGAGGCACAGATTTCTGCAAATCAGCACCTTAGTTCATGACAAAGCTTGAGCTGAGTAACAAAGAGCCAAGAAAGCAGAAAAAAAAATATATACACATATATATTTTTCTCCAGGAGTAGAGTTTTCAAACAGGGCATGGTGCTGTGATGTCAGAGTGCGCAGTAGCAGAAGACACAATGTGTTCGGGGCCAAGCACTTGCATTGCAGGTGCCTTGGGGGTGGAGACTCAGATCCAAGTTTGCAAAGGGCTCTGCCATTGAGGGCTCTACCATGAACAGTTACAGATGGGCCTGAACTTCTGGGTCGGACTCTCTGTGTCACTGGAGCCACATCGGAAACAAATGGATGATTCCATATGAAGAAAAACGCAGGGATGCAGGAGCTCGGCTTTTGCCTCCCGTCTAGAACTGTAGGCAGCTGCAGCCCAGGTGTGATAGCTGCAGGTGAGCTGTGTGGTGCAGACGACAGGGCCCTTGTTGCACAGTGTTTCATGAAGCCATTCCTGGCACCGTCCACACATCCTCCCATCAGTATATCACGAGGGTCCAGCAGGGACATATGATTATTACTGTTATTATTGCTTTGCCTAAGAGCAGACAAAATTCTGAGGGTCCCAAGCTCTGTTTCACAAAACCCTCCAGGGCAGCACGGTGTGACAGAACTTTCTGTGATGTTACGAGTGCCCTGTGTCTGCATCATCTAAGGTGGGCAGCAGGCTTTGGGCTTCTGCTCACTGCTGTGCTCCATGAAGGTCTACTTTTGATCTGCCTCCAATTGAAAAAAAGTTCCTGTTGTTTAGAAGAAAAAAAAAAAAAGACAAACACAGGGGCACTGTGAGCTTTGTAACCATGGACTTGGGGCAAGGGGCCTGTGATTCTGGAACTTGGCTTGCTCTCTGTAAGATGAAGCTGACAGCAGGTGCCCTGGGAGGGCTGTCAGAAATAGAGTGGGGTTACAGAGGTCAAGTGTGTGTATATGTGCGTGTTAAGTGTCTAGTATGTAAGGAACAGAACACATAGATGCATTCAATTGAGTTCAGAGAGGATGGCAGTGGGGCTCAAACATTTTATGTATCTCATGTGACAAAAACCACTTTGACTGGTTTATATGCCCCACCTCACTTTATTCACTCTTACTGTGCTGTGCTGGGTGCCCTGCAGCTCTTCCCATGGTCAAGTGAGGGCATTGAGGCACTGGGCGGGCATGGTTACCCAGTCTATTAAGTGTCAGCTGCAGCATTTGGACCTACAGAAAGGCCAGAGACATAATCATTATAACCAAGTCATGCTATCCATCAGAGTTGAGGAATAAATGGAGGTAGCTCTATTACTCAGGAAATCTAGACTGGAGATTACAGCTATAAATCAAATCAGATGTATGAACAAAGGAGTCGAGAGGAGACCCGGGAAGTTAAAGAGATTTTGTGGGTGGCTCAGCCTCATCTGACTTCTCCCAACTCTTGCTCAGCTGAGTAAGGATCTGGGGTTACCTCCATAGAGAATTCTGCCCCTTCTTTTCAGGAGGCATCAAATGCCCAGCGTGTCTTGTTTAAGGTCAAGGGTAAAAACAACAACAAAAGGCCCACTACGGACCCCAGGTGCTTGCAGGTTTGAGTTGCAGTAGCTGGAGACAGGGTGACAGATGAGCTTGCAGCTCAGTTAAGATTTGGCAGAGCAGAAGCCAAGGGCCAGGGCTGGACCAGGGCTGTGGAGCTACCCAGTTGCTGGAAATCTTGCATTCACTGGGAGGGCACTCAGTCCTTCTCTGCTCAGATGGCAAACCATGTCCTTCCTGTCTTCCCAGGTGAGTACTTCCTCTGGGTAGGAGGCGGCCCAGTGGCGAAGGTTTGTCTGTGCTGGGGACAGAACCCTTCTCTGGCCTAGGGGGCCGATATCTTTCTCCATGCAGCCGTGCCAGACGAAGCAACATCTCAGCTACCTGACAAAACAACAGGCCTGGAACAGAGCTAGAACCCCATATCAGTGCCCTATTGTTCCCACTGCATGACACTTGCTTGATCCAGAGGCATCTGGTGGAGGGGAGGGCTGTGTGGATGCCACCACCCTCAGTGTCACCAGCAGTCCTCCAGGGATACCAATGATGGGGACTGATGGTAATTAAGAAAAAGAGGAAGAGACAGGTCCTCACATCTGCAAATGTTCAAGGCAGCAACGGGAGGAGGGGGCTCACATGTGCCCCCTTATGCTGAAATCCAGCAGCTTCCTGCTCCAGCTCCCAACAGCAGCTTTGACCTTGTTAC